GTCCATTTCTTGTCTACTTTACATGACAATTGATGAATTTGTATTAAATTCCTGCACGCACTATTTTGACATTTGTTAATCAATTTAAAAATAAATAGCACACACAGCATATTGGACCAAGGGGAAAATGCAAATTAAGCAATGTAAAACTGGTTTAATCCAGCTAATTAAAAGGGAGAATTCTTACCAATTATAGACTTTAATGTTCATACTGCTTCAGGGGATCAGATTTAGGAATCATTGAAGTCAGAATAATCACAGATAAGGAATAGGCTTCTACTCTCACACTTAGAGATTGCTTTTATTCATTCTTGGGCTGTGGGCAATGCTGATTGTTTGTTGCACATTACTAACTGCCTTTGAGACGGTAATAGTGAGCTGCCTTCATGAACGTCTGAAGAAGGTACACCCACAGTGTTGCTGGGAATGCATTTCTAGGACTTTGACCCATTGACAGTGAAGGAACAGTGTTATAATTCCAAATCAGGGGCCTGCAGTTGGTGGTGTTGTCATGTATTTGCTGCTCATGTTCTTCTTTGTGGTAGAGATCACTGGGTTAGAAGGTACTGCCAGAGAAATTTTAGTGATTTGCTGCAGTGTTTCTTGTTGATGGTACACACTGCTGCTACTGTGCATTGGTGGTGGAGGGAGTGAATGTTGAAGGTGGTGGATGGGGTGCCAGTCAAGTGGACTGCTTAGAACTGGATGATGCCATATATATAACCTGGCATGTATTTGGCTTCAGTGTTACTTTCGGCTTATCAAATCTGGATGTTGTCCAGGGCTTGTGGCATATAGATATGGAGTGGTTTTCACCTCTACAACATCACAATTGTTCCATGTGTTTACCATAGAACCTCTTTTCATTTTCTAACTGACTCCCTGTTATCTTTTGGTGACTCGATTTTATTTTGGAGTACCAAGATTTTTGATTTTCTTGGGCGTCTATGACAGTTAACTGTCCAATTTGACAGAAATGCTGTTGAATAGTGTTAAAATGTGAAGATGCAGATTCCATCCCACTTATGGAAATCCCTGCTTGTTGTTGAACTAATCCTTTAAAAATTTGCATGACCCCAATTCCGACGAACGTCTCCACACGAGCTGCATGTTTCCCAGGTCCTATGCGGCACGGGAAGGAACAAGTCTGAATGATAGTATCTCTTAGTGGGCTAAGAGGAGCAGCAGTTAGGGTTCATAGGCCTGTATAACAGGTATCCATCAATTACGTGCAGTCGTGCTATACTTGTGCAGCTGCTGGATACGTTGGAGATGCATTTCCACAAATATTGCTGCATCCGCTGTGTTGGGAACTTCACAGTAACGTGTGTTAGAAAGTGAGGAACACACAAGCTCAGTGTGATTGAACTGGCTGTTTTTAACTGGTCTATCCTGTCTATGAGCCTCCTTAATGATTGCTATAACTACCCATGCATGTCCATTGTATTTATAAAATTGCAAACATCAGTTGGAATCTTGAATCCCATGGGGAGCTTGATGGGATTTAATCAGGCAGGAAGGTAAATCTTCCCTCTGCCAATTGAAGTCCATAAGTGGACAGTTGATGCCGGTCCTCAGGGCTTCAGCCCACTACCATTGGTACTAGCCCAGTGGTGGGGTGGGGGCCAAAGCTTGTCATGCTCACGTGAGGCTCCGGGGAAGGGGGTGTTCAGAGACACTCAGTGCCTGATCACAGAATCCCTACAGTGTGGAAGCAGGCTATTCAGTCCATCGAGTCCACACTGACCCTCTGAAGAGCATCCCACCCAGACCCACCCTATCCCTGTAACCCTGCATTTCCCACGCCTAATCCACCTAGCCTGCACATCCCTGGACACTATGGACAATTTTGCACGGCCAATCCATCTAGCCTGCCCATTTTTGGACTGTGGGAGGAAACTGGAGCACATAGAGGAAACCCACGCAGACACGGGAAGAATCTGCAATACTCCACACAGACAGTCACCCAGGGCTGGAGTCAAACCCGGTCCCTGGCGCTAACCACTGAGCCACTGTGCAGCCCCAACTCATGAGGTGGTGGGCCATCTGGGAACTGAGCCCTACGCTTGCTGTTGATCCTTCCACTCAGCCTGTGACTCCAACTCCACAACTCCCTAATTACCATCACTCACCTGTTGCCCAGAGGGGTCCTTGATCTTCAGCTGCGGGTGCAAGTCATACCGGGAGTAGCCACCACCTGTCTGGTGGCGCTGCTCAGTACTCTGGTGGACTGGCATCTGGCGGTGACTGGGAGTTCTAGCCCCATGGGATCCTTGATCTTCAGAGAAGATCCACCCGCCCGCTGTCCTATGCAGTACCTGAGAACTATGAGATGCAACAGGTCTTATTGAAAAGAGGGATGTGGAGGTCTCCAGCAGCCAAGACACCCATCACCTCTACAAGATTCTATCCATTAAATTACTTTATTTGAAGTGAGTCTACAATAACACTTTGCATTTATATTTCATCTTTAATGTGGCTCATGAGGGGCTTCCTAGGAATATGATCAAAATTTGGTGTAAAACAACCTTAGGAGATACCAGGACAGATGAAGAGCAGGGTTTTAAAGGAATACCTTTTGAGAGAAAGCACAGGAAAGGGGGTAAATCCAAGGGCAGAGCCACAGCAGCTGAAGGTACCGTTGCCAGCGATAGGGTACTGGCAATCAAGGGAATTGACCAGGATTGGAGCAGGACAGGGATCTCACACAGTTCAAGGGTTGGATTTGGTTTTGAGAATGGAGACAGGTGAAACCATAAAACTATTTGGGAATGAAGAGGGGATGTTTAAAATTGAGATTTTATTGGACTGGTGCCATTATAAGTCAGTGAGTGCAAGGGAGTGATGGGTGAATGTGGCTCGGTGACAGGATACGTGCAGTGTTTAGAATGTTTGCAGAGGGCAGTGGGTGGGAGGTTGGCCAGGAGTGTTTTAGAATACTGGACAGGTACATCTGACAATTTCAGCAGCACAGGGAGTGAGCCAGAGATGATCAGTGCTACAGAGATGGAAATAGATGCTCTCAATGAGGCAGTGAACATGGGATTGGAACCTCGACTCAGGGTTGGATGGAAACACAAGATTGTGAATAGTTTGAATCTAGCTATGGGACAGCATGGTGGTTCAGTGGTTAGCACTGCTGCCTCACAGCACCAGGGACCTGGGTTCGATTTTAGCCTTGGTCACCTGTCTGTGTGGAGTTTGCATGTTCCCCCTGTGTCTGTGTGTGTTTCCTCCCACAGTCCAAAGATGTCTAGTTAGGTGGATTGGCCATGCTAAATTGCTCATAGTGTCCAGGATGTGTAAGTTAGTTGGATTATCCATGGGAATTACAGGGATAGGGTAGGTGGGATGCTGATTGGAGAGTCAGTGGACTTGTTGGGCCAAATGGCCTTATCCCCACACTGTGGGGATTCTATGATGACAGTGCCCAGGGAGAGTGACAGTATCTATAGCCAGGCAGCAGAACCCATGGACAGTGGCTTCAGTTTTTTCTGGAAGGACTTTCTACTTGAGCAGCACTGGATGTAGGTCAAGCAGTGTCATAGATATGAAGTGGAAGAGCATAGGGAAATGGAGGTGAGGTCAAAGTGAGTGTCAACAACATGATTATGAAACCCAATGCTGTGTTTTTGGATGATGCTTTCAAGGGTCAGCATGTAGTCAAGTGCTAGGAGAGGACACAGGAGAGATCCTGGGTGGACAACGGATGTAATGCTGTGGGAGCAGCAAGGGAAAGCATCCCATTTGATTCTCTGGCTATGATTGGATGGAAGCAGGAGAGGGCAGTCCCAAGCAATGAGGCATTGGAGGAGGATGGTGCCAGGGTGATAGCTCTCTATAAAAGATTCGACACCTGCTGAGAATGAAACGTGTTGTCTATTTTGCTTCACCAGGACAAATGCAAGAGTGCCAATTTTCAAAGGATCATAACAATTGATACTTCCTGGTTTTGATTGCTCTGATTGTTCGAAATGCCTTGCTTTGTCATCCAGCTGGGTGGGACCATGCCCTCCTGCTTCCATTTTTACCCATCCAGTCGTCTGTTGAGAATTTGCTCACACATTGATGTCCACTGAGTTCTTTTTGTCTCACACTCACCCCGAGTAAAAGGGCAACTCTTCCAGCCAAGCAGCACCCATTTCTCCTGTGGGAGAAATTGCTATGATCATTTGAAATTTGGCATTCTTGCATTTGTCCGATTGAAAGATGGAAAATTTTGGTATCATGTGACTTTCCAGCAATATTCAAACATGGTGCCAGCAAGCAACAGAATTGACAGTAAAGCAAACTTTGTTTTAAGCAGCACCTTATGAACTGGCATTCTCAATAAATCAGCAAAACGTATATACCTCGTCAAGTTTACTGTCCAATTATTATGGTAGTTTTTTTTCATTTATTTACCTCAATGTGAATATACTTGTTGTTCAGTCGAATGGCCACATGGAAAAATCAACAGTTGATTCAATTTTGAGTCAATTTCTCCGAAAATAATGCAATCTATCGTGATGTCCAAGTAGTCAGTTGAGTGTGTGAGTGAAAAGGCTCTCTGCCAGTAAATTTTATTTAAGGCAAAGTTGCATTATTATTTAAATGATTTATGCTGTAAATAAAATATAACAGTGATATGTGTACCCCCTGCATTACATTTCTGTTACTTAGTGTTTTTACATTGATTATGTGGATGTATCGATTATCTGGAATATTTGATCAACTGGCACATTCCTGGTCCCAAAGGTGCTGGCTAATAAAAAGTTTGCTGTATTGAAATCTGGTTGTGGTCTGTGAGCAGCTTGAACAACATTCATTCAATCTATACCTTGACATTCAATAATATTATCGATTCAATTCTAACTTGTAACAAAAACAGAAATTGCTGGAAAATCTCAGCATGTTTGATAGCATCTGTGGAGAGAAATCCGAATAAAGGTTTCGAGTTCAGTGCCCATTCTTCAGAACGGTCAATTCTAACTTGTCCCTGTTTACTCTTTGTGTTACAGATCCAGCTTTCAAGAAATAGGGAACCTGCTCGGATCTGCTTTGACTTGCAGAATCCAGTTTGGAGAATCATCACTGTCTGCTAATAAGCAGCCATCATTTCAGCCCTCTGATATCTTAGCTGTTCTGCTTAACTTATCAGTGGATTATAAACCAATTCCAAACCTTTGAAGACAAGACAACAGAAGCATTCGCTAAATAAGGCCCACCTCGGAGTGCATAGCCACCATGGCCCTGGGCTTTCCGAGTTATCTGTTGCTGGCAGCAAGTACTTTATGTACAATTGGATTTACTCAGCCCCTTTCTAAGGAGGATGACGTTGTTCCAAGGATTGCTTTCGAATACAGTAAGTACATCTGCTCTCGACAGTGAAGTGTGGTAGTGTACAGTTAATTGCTGTGTAAAATCTGGACAAGAGAATCTTGCCTTGTTTACTCAGTAGCTCACCTGGCTTCCTTCAATGTCATCCCGTACAATGGTAGATTTGGGTGAGAAGAGACAAGAGGAGGAGTGGTGGCATATTCGTAATGTCACTGGACTACTGACCTATAAAGGCCAGGTTTATACTCTGGGGATATAGGTTCACCATAGCAGTTGGAATTTAGATTAATCTAAAACATCTGGACTTGAAAGCTAGACGCAGCAGTGGTAACTGTGGTAGTTATCATTGCTCGTCCTAAAAATCCATCTGATTCACTAATGTCCTTTACGAAAGGACCTTAGCTGGTCTGACCTACATGTGAGTCCAGACCCACAGCAATGAGGTTGACTCTGAAATGGCCGAGCATACTTCTCATTTCAAGGTCAATTAGGGATGGGCACTAATGCCAACAACACCCACATCCTGTGAAACAATTTCTTAAAAATCCTTACATGTACTGCTTGGTCCAGTTGGTCTGTTTCTGTGCCTTCTCCCATATCAATTCCTTTCGCCTGCTTTATTTATGTTGGCCACCTCCCCTCGTTTAACACGAGGTCAGTCATGAGGAAAGTTGGAAGGAAACTAGGATGAGTTTTATTTCTCTTCAAGAGAGCACGTGTTAACTTAAAAGCTGTACCCAAAGAAATGTTAACTTTCTCTTTCCCCTCGTTCTCTGCAATCTCTATATCTCTTGGTCAATATACTGTGGTGAACAGAAGATTAACATTGGTCAGCCTGCATTTCTCTTTGTACGTACAGCTGGAGCTCATGATTACAGGCTTCTTTGGAGATCAGCCTTCCAGTTGTGACTTGGCTTCGTACTCTGACCAAAATAGTGAATCGCTTGGAAGCCAGTAACCCCAGACCTTTCAGTAATGAGCTTTCATGCTGCACTGCTCCACAGAGAAAATTAAATTTCTGTACACGTTCATCTACAGGATTACCAAATGCTTTCCAAATCACCTCAGTCCATTAGGACGATCATTCTCAGTGAGTTTGGTGCATTTATTGAACAATTCGAGTTTGCCGGAGAATCCTGCAGCTTAAATCAGTAATTGTTCTTGATCAGACAGAAGCCGCTATTTATGAGTTAAGTTTCAGTGTTATTTAGTTTTGTTTGTTTTTCAGAAATTAAGGGATGGAAATTCATTGACTGACACTATCAAATTGACCTCATAGTGCCCTCCCCATCTGACAGTCAATTCCATCGAGCCCAATAGAAGTGGCTTTTTTTGGGACATGCACCAGGATGCCAAGCGATGTTGGCTGTTTAGTGCTGCAGGAGTTCTGTGCCCCAATAGGACCACATTAAGGGCACACTTTGGCATGTTTGCAGCTCTGCATTGACTCTGCATTTCAGCTTGTATGCATCATCACAACTGATCAGTGATCTGTTCAGTTAGACATTATTGTCATTTTCTGAGCAAGGGGCATTTCTCCTGAAGAGGTCATATCAGCAACTCAGGCACTCATTGCTTCCAGCGTAGTGAGGCCAGTCTCCACCCTTTTGAGTGCGGCAGTACTTCCAACATGACCTTTCACTCCATCCCACTCCTGACCTATTTTCTAGGCTCGAGTTCACCACATGTGTGTACTAGTTTCTGCTTTCCATGGTGGGAAACCCTCACGGAGTCAGTGGGAAGGAGAAAGCTCTGGTAGAGAGAGACCTTTAGTGGGCAGAAGGAAGTCCAAGATCAGAAGAAGTTTCTACTGAAGGCCAAGAATGTGATTACGAAAGTCTTTGGAGGCAGCTGGAAGGAGAGGAGGCCGTTACGAGGCCTCTCACTCCTGTCTAGGCAACTCCAGAAAATCCAAGCCAGCTTCCAGGATCTCCTGCATGTGGACCATGAATTTGCAATAAGGGAAGCAGGAGATGATGAATCCCTTCCCCCACATACCTCCAGATGTCAAGAACATGGTAGTCAGAGTAGGTACCTGGTGACATCACTTCACCGCTCGCACCAGAGGCCCTCCCTGCTGGACACCGGGTATCGATTTCTCAGGACATGCTTCACGGGCATTAGGCACATGCACCCCACGTCCATGGACACTGGCATCCAACATGTGCCAGTCTCTTATGATCTTTCATAGCATATCTCCAATCCACTTCTGCACCTCAGTGTTGCACTGGTGCCTATCATTGCAATGTTGCAACAATGACAGTGTGTGCTACACCCGAGATAGTGCGAGGTATCAGAGAGCAGATGGTGGCATTTACGCTGGTGAATTGGAGAAGGTCATTGATCTTCTTCCTACAGTACTGGGCATTCCTCCAGACCACACTGAACTTGGTAGGTACCTCAGACCAGGTGGCATGGTCTGATGTCATGGCCGGTCCTGGGGAAAGAGGATGCCCTGCCTGTGCACCACTCCATTAGTGTGCCCCTGCCTGCAAAGTGGGACACCAGTTATCCCTGCCTGTCATGTACATGGTAATTATCGCAGACTGACCAGGGCATCTCTGGAGTGGCAGTATCTATCTGGGTTCACAGCAGCATTGTAAATATGGTGTGGCTACAGTGATGCAGGTCAGTCTGGGATATCCCAGCAGTGGGGAGTGCATGATAAAATGGGTCTAGAATCAGTCAAGAGGGACGTCACTGGGGGGCAGGATAGATTATTAAATGAGATTAGTAAGATTCAGCAAGAAAACTTCCCAGGCCACAGGGTGAAAAGCCCCTCCAGTAAAATAAACACCACACTCATTTAGCCAAACAAAAACGGTAAAGTGAAGTTTGTAGAGTTTTCAAGTGGTAATACTGTGAGTGGATTAAACACACATGACACAGTACAATTTTTGTAATAAAAAGTGAGTACTTTGATATTTTGTCAGAGCAAAGTAATGAGTGGCTCTTTACAAAATCCAACTGTAGCAAAGGGAAAACAATGGTGTTGACACTGGACTTGTCATCCACAGAGCCAGGGGACACGGATCCCAGTCTCACCGTGACATTTGTTGGAATTTAAATTCAATACATCCAAAATCGAAAGCTAATCTCAGTAATGTATCAGTGAAACTCTCATTGATCACCGTTAAAAATCCATCCATTAATGCTCCTCAGTGGGACTTCCCAAAGTTAGGGTCAGAAGCCCAAGTGGGAGCAATGGTTGCCATGGAGCTCCAGCTTAGTTACAAAGGCTGGTAATGAGAATAGATTTCTTTCCCTGAAGGGCAAGTTTCTGAAACCTCTTCCCACTGTGACCCTATTTTGAGGTTGAAGACTTTTCACAGCCTCTCAGTGAAAGCAGAGAGATCGGGAGCCTGTTAGAGAGAGAGCGCAGCCAATATAAGTAACGTATACAATATATAATACTATAAAGTAACGTATGACTCACAATAACACGACAGACTTTTAACTGCCCTCTGAAATGGCCTATGACAAGCCAAACAGTGAATGGAAACAAATGCAGGATTCATCAGTAGCATCAAAGGTCAATTTTTTTTTAAAAAACAAGCCATTCAGCCCATCGAAACTTTGAAAGAGCTAATGGGTCAGTCCCGCTCTCTTGCTGATTCCCCTTCTGCCTAAATCACCACTGAATTGGCTTCCACGAGCCCTTCAGGCTGTAGTGAATTAGAGAAACAGGAATTGGGAATCCATTTCTCCTGGCCTTCTGGGTTACTAGTGACAACGCCATAATAATTCCTTTGCTGCTGAGGCTGATGGAGAGGGATATGATTGAGGATGTGGTTGTCGAGCCTGAGGTAGTGATGCCTTCACCTCACCTGTGTTCAAACCTCGATAAATAATCACTGCTGGCTTCTGTGACACTTACTTAAGTAATAAACAGATTGTTTAAAGGTGTGTAAGCAGAAAACACAGTCCGTGATTCTTGGAGCATGTCTGTGCAGGTTCTCACATATTGGCACAGAACTGCTACATTGCACTGCATCTCAAAGTCAAGGCAAGGAGCCAAAACATTAATCTTAGGTCACTGGGTAATCAACTTTAACACAGTTTTACAATGGGCAGGCATACCGGTTGGAGCAGAAATCAATGTCTTTCACAGAAACAGTGAGGTTTATATACATATAGAACATGAAGATTACAGCAGTGTCGAACAAATACCACAGTGTAGTGGTTATGTTATTAGTATTCCAGTTTAATCAGACCACTGGAAGTTTGAGAGTTGAATTCTTTTTAGCATGCTTTTATTTTTTGAAAGACTGGTGTTCTGTAAAAGTAACTGTGAAACTATGGAAAAAGAACATTGTTAGCCAGTTCACCAAACCTGCCAGCTTCATCCGACTCTGGCCTATACATGTGTTTAGGCCCACACCAACTCTTACCTTCCCTCTGAAATAGCCTGACAAGCCATTCAGTTTGACGAAACTTCATTATCATGTTCTCAGGGCAGCTAGAGATGAATGATGAGTGTATGTCTCCCCAGCCCAAGAATGGACAAAACAGAAGTCAAGAGACAAATAGGCAAGAGATATGGACAGGAAAAAACTAGAAAGAGACAATAAAAACAAACTAACTCAGGAGAAATTTGTTGGTTCCATTTATGGGTACGTGGTTTCATGCATTTGTTTTTATTCACTCATGAGATGTGGGCATCTCTGGCGAGGCCAGCATTTATTGCCCACCTCTTAATTTCCCAGAGAGCAGTTAAGAGTCAACCACATTGCTGTGGGTTTGGAGTCACATGTACGCCAGACCAGGTAAAGATGGCAGTTTTCTTCCCTAAAGGGCATTAGTGAATCAGATAGGTTCTTTTTTACCCTGATAATCAACAGTGACTTAATGGTCATCTGTAGACCTTTAATTCTAGATTCATTTTCTTTTCATTGAATTCAAATTCCATCATCTGCCATGGTAGGATTTGAACCATGGTCACCAGAATATTAGCTGAGTTTCTGGATTAACAGCCTAGTGATAGGCCATCGTGTCCTCCCCCTGTGATAATTGAACAGTTGATCT